AGGCTGTGCGTTTGTTGCGAGTAAGAGCTGTGTCTCTCTGATAGATTTGGGGGCAAGGCAGAGAGGAGAATGACAGCTATAAACATAACTGGCATTCGCTGAACACCTACGAGATCCCACCCCAGCTCCCCAACAACCCCTGGAGGTCGAGTGCACTGTTGGCTCATTTTACAGATGAGGAAACTGAGGCACAAAAAAGTGAAATCACTGGCTCCAAAGGAGCAGGCAAGGAAGCAGAAGAGCTAGGATTCAACCTGAGGCTGTCAGGTGGGAGCGCCTGGGAAGGAAAGGGCCGTGACAGGTGCAAAAAGTGAAAGGTGGGGCCCCTTTTGTCACAGAATTTAAAATTCATGGAGATGAGACCAGGAGTTCCCTCATGGCCACCTGTCCGCGGTGCCACAGGCAGACATGACGTTCTCTTCATGAAGAAATAAGAATAAGAATAAGGAAATACTCACCAAGTGAGTGGTATGGATAGAGGAAGGCAGTCTGGGGCTTTGGTGGTTTGGTTTGGTTTTGGGGTTGTTTTTTTTTTTAAATAGATAATTGTAGTTACTTACACGGTGCAAAATTTAAAGGCTACAGAAGGGAAGACGGGCCTCTCTCCCTGCCCGCCCCCGCCCAGGGCCTCTCCCAACACCCTCTCCCGGGTGCCCCCCAGCTCAGGGCCTCTCCCAATTGGGAGACGCTGTGTAGCAGAACAGTTCTTCACATTACATTATATCTTTCCTACTACCTGGGGTGTTAAAACATCCCGGCCTCTGTGGAATCATAAAGATGGTTGATGATGGCACTGTTTGTTTTTAATGTCCTGTCTGGAGATAGAAGTAAAAAAAAAAAAAAGGAAGAAGAAAAAAGAAAGAAGAAAGGGAGGCAGGGAGGCGGGGAGGCAGGAGGGAAAGAGAAAAGTCATCTTCTCCCTATTCATTCTCTAAATACACTTTCCGAGGTGACTAAATGGATACTGTGTGAGTTCATGGAGGGAGCTCTGGACTTGGGTCAGAGATCTGTGTTCTGGGCTCTGTCCCTTTGGAAATGGGCGGCTCCAGGCAAGCCCCTGCCCGAGGTGGCCGCCGCAGCTGTCCAGGGAAAGCTGAAATGGACAGGCTGCATGTCAGGGGCAGAGAGAAGGGGAGGCAGGAGGCCTGGAAGAGCAAGTTTGCTGGAGCAGGGAGGCCAGTTTTGGACAGGGAACCCCCTCGGGAGCAAAGGCGCAGAGGTGGGCGTGAGCAGCCACCCAGGGGCAGAGTGGGGTGAAGGGGAAGGGGACGGGGCAGGCCAGATGAGGGATCTCATGGCCGCGCACAGGAGAAAGAAGAGCCAACCCACAGGCAGGGCCCTCGAGAAATGGGAACTTGCTTCAAAGAGAAATTTGTCCCAGGAAGCCTGCAAGGGACTGTTTCATCGCCCTGTCGGCCTCCTGACAGCCCTTATCGAGGACCTGCTGCTGTCACGCCCGTGGCCCCCGCGGCCTCCGCAGCCACCCCCGGGGCAGCTACCGGGGAGGAGCTATCTCGGGGAAGCAGAAGGCGCTGGTGAGAGTAAATTTAGTATAAACAACCAGTTCCCAGAGCCCAGCATCAGGGGGCTGAGGGGATTACTCAACCCCGGGGGGAAGTGACTCAGTTCACCCAGGAAATGGGCACCTGTCTAGGTTTCCCTGACAGTGAGGAAAGGAGACAGTAGTTCAACGACAAAGTCAGTGAAAGTAAAGCACAGGAGGTCCTCTAGCCACCAGGCTGTAGGCCGCTCTCGGCGGTGCTCAGGGCTGCCACCGTGGACTCAGCCAGCTGGGCACCAACCACACCCGAATAAAGTGACATCCTGGGGGCCCGCTCGGCCTCTCTGTGCCCTGCTCCCCCCGCCCCCAAAATGCCAAGGCTGGCAGGAGCCAGGGAAGTTCTGCAGGGAAAGTTCCCCCAGGGCCTAAGGCCGCCCCGCTGCTGGATTGTTAACACAAAGACATTAAGTTGCTATGTCAACTGTCATCTTTAAATAAAAACTTAAGCCCAGCAATAAATCTGAAACTGGTCCCAAAAGTGAAAGGGAATAATGCATAACAGGCCTGGGGGAGAGCCGAAGCCTGGCTGGCAGGTGGGGATTCCCTTGCTGGCCTTGGTCTGGTCGCAGGGCTGTGGCTTTGGCTTTGCTTTTTGAACTGCATAGTGTCGCGGTTACTAGCAAGAGTGCAGGTGGTTGTGGGGGGCGGTGGGGGGGGGAGTAAAAATCCTTCAGTGGGTCTTAACATTTCAGTGACACGAAAATCATCCGCTCTCTCTCTCTCCAGCCTCGGTCCCCAGGGCTGAATCAGTGAGGCTGGGGCGTGGCCCAGAAAGCCTCCTATGTCAGCTCCTCCCCATCTTCTCCCACAGGGTTGGCAAACGCGTCTTGAGAAACCTCAGGAAGGAGAATAAGGGGCTGGGAACCCCAAACCTTGAGCTTAGAGACATTGTCTCCAGCAGGAAAGGGGCAGGGGTGTCCAACCTTGTGGCGTCTCTGGGCCACGCTGGAAGAAGAAGAGTTGTCTTGGGCCACACATTAAATACGTTGTGGCATGGATCACAAAAAAATCTCAAATTAAGTAAATTTATGATTCTGTGTTGGGCCGCATTCACAGCCGCCCTGGGCCGCGTGAGGCCTGCGGGGCCCCCCCAGTAGAGTAGAAGGCTCTGGGAGAAAGGCTACAGCCAGGTCCGAATCAGGGGTCCCGCAGGGGTGGACCCAGCTTTTGTGGGGCCGTGTGAATAACATTAATTCAGAATCACCAAAAAAAGAAAAAAATCAGTACAGGGCCCCGAGGGTCTCTTGGCCGGCTTTGTGAGTAGCACCTCTGTTTCGGGGGCCCACACTCCCCTTTTTTACTGGCTCCTTCTTCTCCCCCTGCTGCTGGGTGATGACCAGCTGGCAGAACCCACCTTGTCCTTTCCCTGGGTGGAGGGGGGGCAGACTTTAAACCTAAAAATCATAAGGAAATCTGGCCCTTGGACGCCAGGCATCCAATACCAAATCATGATTCTTAACTACTGATCTTTCTATCAGCGACCTACCAGCATTTCATCAGGCTTAAAATGTGTTGTCCTGAAAGAGGTATACTCCACTGGTATCCCTAAAACTGCCCCCGATCTTTCTGGGGTACAACCTGCCCTATGCAACGGCACCCTAAAACCATGTCTGTACCATAATTCAGTTGTTCTGTTTGGAAAACTTCAAACCCACAGTGACCCATAGCAATGAATAACCTGTGCACGGGTGTTCACCTCAGCTCTATTATAACAGGAACGGGGGGGGCGGGGGGGGAGATGACAACTAACATAAGTACTTATTACATGCCAGGCATTGTCCTAGGGGCTTCCTACGTTACGTGTATTTAATCCTCCAACTCTATGACACCCACTTTATGGGGGGGAGGAGAATGGACGCAGAAGTGCCCTGGCAAACCAGCTCTTCTGGCGGGGGAGGGGGCGGGAAGCCGGATTTTTAGCATTTGTCGATTTTCCCAGTATAAATACCCAACGATAGCCAATTTCAAGCTAGGTGTGGTTTAGCAACCCGCTCCCAGATTTTCGATAGTTTAGCAGTTGGCTCAGAGGTCAAGGAACGTGTCCCAAGTTGCTAAATGACAGCCAGGCTGGGAACCAGGAGTTTAAGTCCGGAGTGACGGCTCCGGCTGCTGTTCCACAGGTCCACCATCAGCCGACAGGAGCGAAGAGCGAAGAAGAGCGCCCACAAGACACTGCTTTGACCCACAGCCCACAAGGCAAGATTCCCAGGGCTACTGACACTCACATGAGCTCCTCACAATAACCCTGAGAAGGTCTCCTTTATCAGGGTTGTCCTAAATACTAAATGCAATGATTTGCATAACCTGATGGATGGGAAACCAGCTCCAGTTAAGTGCTCTGGAAGGTGTCGCTAAGCTTATTCCATTTTGTAGAGCCTTCTCTTGTACACACAGAGTTTCGCCAGCTCCTACCGGGTCGAGGTGGGATCCAGGCCCCAGCCGGTCGGAATCCAGGCCCATCCTCTTAAACACAATGTCCCTCGTAAAAAAGATATTAGGTGGAAAGAGGGTAGAGACCAACGTGTACAAACTCTTTCTAAGCAGAAGTCACTCTGAACTCCAGAATCAGGCAAACCTGGATTCTTCATCTACTCCTGTGTGACCCGGGGCGAGTGACCGAAGCGCCCCTGGCTTCAGTTCCTTCCTCTGAGAAGCGGTCCTGACACTACCAACCCACAGGGTTGTCCTAAGGGCGAACACGGACCTGGACCCACGTTCAGCGCTGCACGGGGCGCAGCCATCATTGCGTACAAAAAGGTGGGAACCAAGGGCATGGTTTCACCTTCGCGGTGGTTTTTTTGTCCTATCAGGTTGCCCCAAACTGTAGCTCAGGGTGGTCCAGAGTGACAGCCCAGCCGATACCTTTGTAATGTCAGCGTTTCCCGGGCGCGAGCTAGAGAGGTGCCCCTCTCCACCCTGGTGTTCCCGCTCCCTCACGGCCCCACTTTGCGGCTCCGCGGTGCAGGACTGAAGGCGCCAAAGCCTGGATGCCCAGTCGGATGCCCGGGGTCAAGCCGTGCCTCCCCCGGTCGCCGCACGGGCATCCTTAGCTCCACTGCCCGCAGCGCAGAGAATTCCAGTCCCCCGGGAACCCGCGCGACGTTCTGCTTTGGGAACCTAGAGCCCATACTAAATGCAAAGTTTGGAAGTATCTTGCATCTCCTTTTCTCCCAATCACTAAAAAGAAAACTGCTGCTGTTCCTCCTCTCAGCCAAAATTCCTCCCCCAGTCGCCTCTCGGGCTCTGCGCTCCCACGGCGGTTGGAACCGCAGGAACGCTGGACCGCGCAGGGAGAAGTGGCGCGGGCGGCCGGGGTTCTCGTCGGGGTGGCATCGCCCAGCCGCGCCCGAGTCCGGCGAGAGGGAAGGATGCCCCACGGCTCCTCGCGGCCCCTCGGGGCTCCCGGACCCCCAGCCCGCGGGCCTCGGGAGCAGCTTACCTGGCGGCGGTCGCTTCCTGCTCAGGCGGCTCACCGCGCGGTTAAACATCTCCGCAGGCGCCCGGGTTTGGAAGGCGGTGCAGCCGGGCGCGCGGCGGCTGAGCCGGAGGAAGGCGAGGAGGACGCCGAGGGGAGGAGGAGCCGGCTCAGCACCGCCCCGGCGCGGCCGGCCCCCGCCCCGCCGCCCTCCCGACTTGACGCCGCGTGGCGCACTCTTAGCTCCCAGCCCTCCCACCCCGGAGCGGGCCACGGGGTCCCGCCCCGGGGTGCCAAGGCGGGCCAGGGCGGAGCCGGGTGACTCCCCGGGCCCCAGGATCGGGCCCCGCGCCTGGGATGAGCGCACTAGCCCAGAAAGGGCCCGCGCCACCGTGGATTTAGGAACGCTGCCCAAGAGGTTCGCGCGTCCCGGGTCCCTTCGCCGCTGCGGGACTCGCAGGAGACGCTGCTCCTGGCGCGCCCGTCCCTCCCAACTCCAGTGTGTCTCCCGGTCCCCCGCTCTTTCCTTGCGGCCGCAAAAAACGGGCACGACGCCGCAGGAGTACTGGCAAGGGTGGACCTGGCACCCTGTATTAACATTTGTCTATGCCTAAATTTTCACCCATTGTGGCGCCTCCCTATTTTCTGTGTTAGGATCGCTTGTGTTTTCCGGGTAGGGGTGCTGCACAAATTCCCCGCGGGTGGCCGGCAGGGGTTATCTCCTGGTTCACAGGCTGGGAAGCCGAGGCCTCGTGGTTGTGCAAAACCCGGGCGCGGTCCATGGCTTTCGCTTCCTCGTCCCCGCCCCCCGTACCCTTATCCAGTATCCAGAGCTCTCGGGCCTGCCGCCCTGACACTCTGGGGGCTCTGGGCCTTCCCACGGCAGCGAATGCCTGTGGGATGTCGCCAGGGTCCGGGCCGCGCACGGCGCCCTCGAAGGGAGTGAGTCGAGCCTCCGCGGGCGGGCACCCTCTCCCCGGCTGTGCTGCGTGGAAGCCGAAACTTGCGCGCCTTCTGCCCTCGGCCTTGAGGCTACAGTAGCGGGTCTCGGGGGGATTATGTAGAAAGTTCATGGGCTCCAGCGCAGAGCGAGGCCTCTTCCTCGTGCACAGTCTGGCCGGGGACACTTCTCTAACTTTGGGGACATGTGGCACACCTTCCGGTGGGGACACTGCGCTCAACGCCCGCCTGCGCTCTGAGTCTGATTTTTTTCCCTCTCCTGCGCTAGTCGCCTGCTCAGCGCCACGCGCCCAACTATAATCTATTATCTTATTTCTTCTGCAAAACGTCCCCAAAAGGGATGTCATTAGCCCCATTTCCTTGAGCATTTGCTTTACGAAGAATTGTCTTTCTAGCGAGTCTTATTTTTCTCCTTGTGTATCGGGCTTTGTCTCTAAATTGGACTTTATTTTTAGCTGAGCTAATTGCTATTTTTCTAAACCGATCCCCAGTCGTTGGCCCCCCCCCTCCACCCATCCTTTTGCAGTATTTTCACTAGTTGGCACTTTCTTTTATGTCTTCTATTCTGAGCTTCCCAGTCCGCTAATTTCTCCACCCACCCTCTCAGTCCCAGCGCACCCCGTCTCTGGCCCTTTGATTGCTTCTCACTTCCCTCCCCGCCCTCACCCCGCAAAGTCGTTTTCCTTCGGGTACTTTGCTGCTGGGAGAGGCTTTTCTGGTCGTGAAGGTTACAGGTGTCTTCGGCTGCAACTCGGGGGGACCATGTTGACTAGGAACAGGGTTAGAGCCCAGCTCAAAAGTGAAGGGTTCCTCCCCTTTAAAACATGTTTAATTAAACATGAAATACATCCAAAAAGTTGATAACATATGTAAAGTGCAAAACAATTACAAAGTGGACCCTCTGTAAACCTACCACCCATCCATCTCCAGAGGTAAGTTGTTGCGTAATGAGGGGAACAGATCGAACGGGGCCAGAAACAGGCTCCTGGAGGCCGGCTGGGGGCTCGGCAGCCACGAGCAGAGAGACGGAGGGGCCCGGGGCAGAGCAGCGCACGGCAAGGGGCAGGGCGGGTGGACTCGAGAGAGATTTAGGAGGAAACCTGGACTTGATGGATTGTCACGCACTAGTTGTGTGACCTAGGTAAGTCCTAGCCTTTCCAAACCTCAGTGTCTGCATCCGTAAAGTAGGCAGGCGATAACTACAGTTACTAGAACCCCCAGCACCTGGCACCACCGAGCTGGACACAGATGACATACAAAAATCATAGCTACTGTTAATACTGCTCTGTGCAAGCTCCGCCCATGCCCCAGAATGAACAGCCTGTCGCCCTTGGGGCTGGAATCCTCCTTTCCTTCTAGGGAGGAAAACGGTAACTGACTGCGACTCTGCCCGAATCTCTGCTTCTACTTCCCGGGAAAAGCCGCGTGGCGGGCCTGGGTCGGAGTCCAGGCCCCGCCCCTGTGCCCGCAAGCCCCGCCCCCGAGCACGCAAAGCCCCGCCCCCGAACCGCGCGCCCCGCCCACGCCTGTCGGTGACGTGCGTGCCGCTGGGCCCGGGCGCTACGAGGAAGCCCAGCGCTTCCGCGCGCTTCGGGGTAGCCGGGGCTTCGGGGCGGGTGCGGGGCGGGCGCGGGGCGGTGTGGGGCTCCGCTAGGTTTCGTTGCCCCCCGCCCCCGTGCTGTCTCCGGGGCTCGTTTCAGCCGGAGATCCGGGAAAGAGTGTTGGCGGGAGCCAGAAGCTCGACTTTGCAAAGGTGTCCTGTTGGTGAATACTCAATGCAATAGACAGATGGTGTGTTATAGAAGTGCATGCCTGACACCTACGTAATGCTATTGACTAACCACACCCCCATGAATTCAATGAAAAATTATAAAGAAATAATAATAAGACGCCTCCTGTTGCTGGCCCCTGCGGGAGATCGAGCCGCCCCTCCGCTGTAATGGAATCCAGCAGGGATGCTGCAGCTCAGGGGCAGGTTCCCCTTTTGTAAGACGAGGATTGTTCGACCCTGAGGTTCCTGCGTTCTCAGGACAGTGACAGAGAGATTTGGGCAGCATCCTTCCCCAGAAAATCACAAGTAATCGTCACACGGGAAATAAGGAGGCCGGTACGATGGGTAGCAAGTAAGGCGCAGACAAATGTTCTGCAGGTTGCCAGGTTCCCGCCTGCCATCCTGAAAAACACCCTGGTGTGCCCTACGACATGCTTACGAATCCCTCCTGAGCTAAGAAGGTGGCCAGGACTTTCTAAAATAAAGGGAAAACAGAAGAGCTTCAACTCACTCTTACTATACTCTTAGTGTACAGACAGTAAGTACAAAAACAAAGACCCTTGGTTAAGGTTTAATGCACACAGTTTAAAGGTTGTTTCAGGACAGTCCTGGCCAGGTAGCTCAGTGTTAGAGCATCATCCCCATACCCCAAGGTCGTGGGTTCAATCCCTGGTTAGGGCACATACAAGAATCAACCAAAGAATGCATAAATAGGTGGAACAATAAATCGATGTCTCTCTCCCTTCCTCTCTCTCTCTAAAATCAATAAATTAAAAAAAATAAAATCTTTTTAAAAAGTTGGTTTCAAAACACACAAAAAAGACTGTTCTGAAATTGCTATGGTATCTGGTTTGTGTCTAAAGATCTAAGAGCCAATTTTCAATATGCACTGTGTAAAAAACAAGTATAAAAGTATAGGGCCTTACTGTCCCTAAAACTTGCCAAAAGAAAACACACACACACACACACACACACATACACACCAAACACATGACTCAGTTCCGCCTGTGGTTTGCCTGTGGGCTGAAGATGCCTGGCATCCAAATAGCATCACCCACTTTCAGCCCTTCACAAACACTGGTAGCCAGCCTGGGCAAAAAGAGAACAAGCACTTTGGCCCTTTGGTTGAACAACCATCATTCAGACCAGACAAGGAGCAAGAGACCAAGGTATCTCTTGGTAAAGCAGAATTACAAAGTGATTGTTTACTTGAGAATTTAATAGTTTTTATTCTACTCAGAAAATTTAAAAATTGGTAAGCTGTGAATATTATAGAGTCTCTTAAAATGTATTTTAGAGTTCCTTATAAAGAATATTCTAGGTCACTTGAAGCAGGCGAGATATAGTAAAATAAGTAAATAAATGATATTCATTTGAGTCAAGCGATCTGGGTACCAACCCCGGCCACATAGCAGAGCAGCTGTGTGTCCCTAAACACAGCCTCATGGGATTGGACAAGGAAAGGTCGCCGCCTACATTCCCAGGGTGTGGCATTCTGTAGCAATAAACAAGACAGCAACAGACTCGCGTGGGTTCTCAAAAGCTACTCAAGTCTGAATGATTCCCCTTGCAATATTGTTTCAACAAATAATACACTTTAGCCCATAGGCTGTAAAAAGTGACATTTTAGAAAGAAATTGTAAACAGTTGGCAGGATTATGCAGTAACAATGATGCAATTGGCAAGCTGAGTGAAGAGAGGAAAGCAAATTGTTACAAATTCTCTGGAAGGCAAGAGAGGCAGATGTGTTAAGATGTGCATCTGGCAACATGTGTAAAAGCCTTCAAAATGTTTATACCCATTTGGACCAGTGAATAATTCTACCACTGGTAATGTATGCCAAAGAAAGAATAAGAGATGCAAAGATATAGGTGCAAAGTTGAACATCGTAACACTTCTTTTATCAGTACAATTTATGGTAGCTATAAAATGCCCCTTAATGAAATGACTAAGTTGCAGTGGTATATCCCCGTGATAGAATACTGAACAGCTGTAAGAATTGCATAAAGACTATTTGGTGGTGTAGGAACATGCTTATGATGAAGCTTTCATTGAAAAAACAATCAGGATACAAATACAGAAAAAAATTTCCATCAGGGAGGGGAGAAAATACAGTAGATTTAGGCATTGAAAACTGTGCCAAATGCTATTAATACAGTATATTTTATTGCGTTCGCTTTATAGTGCTTCACAGATGTTGTGTGTGTTTTTTAATTGAATGCAAGCCCCTCCACCAGCAAACAGGTTATGACTCACTTTATTGCAGCACTCACTTTATCGCCGTGGTCTGGAACTGAACGCTCAATATCTCCGAGGTATGCCTGTGCTTTTATCACTAGATGATGGAACAATGGGTGAGTTTGTATTTTCCTCTTTTGCAGAATTTCTGCAGTGTGTGTA